TTATTATTATTATTATTATTATTATTATTATTATTATTATTATTATTATTATTATTATTATTATTATGGTTGGTTGCATAGTCAGACAGATGGTCAGACTGGATTCGGCACTCTCAAGTCCTTCCCAAGGATTTGGAATAGGCAATGTTGTTGACTGATGGTGTTAAAGGTATTGTTTTGGGGTGTAAACTGTTCCAAGTAGAGCTGCTTTTTGCAATTGATGGATGGTAATGTTGTCAATGCCTGATTAAGGTTGCTGGGCAACAGCCTTCTAACACGCTAAGGGACGAGAGCTGGAGATGTTTCACCTCCTTTATTACCATAGCATAGGGTATGCACAAACATGGCCAACATCTATGCTTGGTCAGATACAACTTTTGTTTTCCTCCACCAATACTCCAGAGCAGTTTCTCATTGATTTGCCAGACAGTTCCTTCAAGGGCCTGGTTGTTTACTGACTGTAAGAGCTACCAGAGCCCTTGATGAGACTGTACCCAAGCAGGGTGACAGAAGAGACCTCTGGTCTTATTTAGAAGCTGAGGCACCCTGAATTTAGTTTACATAAAAACAGTAGTAAGAATATTCTTCAGCCTCATGGTCAGGTATGCAAGAACTCAGACTGGTTTTATCTAAGAGGTCTCATTTGGAAGTCCTTCCTACTTTTTCTCTCTCTCCCTCCCTCCCTCCCACCCTCTCTCCTTCTCTCTGGAGTGGCTTTCCAAGGCCAAATAGCCCATCTGCATAATTTCCTTTAAAAGAACTGCCAATATAAAGCCTGATGTTCCTTTTAGGACAGTACAGTGTAATTAACAAATCTGAAAGCAATTAATGTGTATAGTATAACTACCTCCCCCCACAGAAAATTTTATGCAGCACATAAATTTACCGTTTGTCTGGTGGGGCTAATTCACTTTAGTAGTTCTCAGATTATGCAGAATCTTAGCAATTGCCAAGTTATTGAAAGTTCTTCTCAATAAATTGTTCTAGTTGGTGATAACCAGGGAATTGTTCTTGGTAATTCGGTAGCTGTACCTCAGTGAAAAATAAAATGTGTATAAAGCTTTTCTATTTAATCACAGACATCTCCAAGCAGGGCTGCTAAAGATTCCTGTCAGAAACTCGGGAATGATACTATTGATGGCCTGGTTCATGCAACACGTTTAAGCTATAATTTGCTCTGTATGGTACTTGGCATGAAGCCAAGTGTTGTGGTTTATAAATTTTTATGGTTTAGTAAGTGGTATGAACAAAGCTGCACTGTGGCTTGTTCAAGAAACCATGTTTAAAGCAGCCATGATGTGTAAACCGAGCCAGCGTCATGCTCACTTGATGTATTATTTTTGAAAAACAGAAGATTGTAGACGTTTCCTTGACTTGAGCTACACTTTTGCCATAATTGTTCTTAGAATTCCAAAAATATATATGGACTAAAAAGACTAATTGAAAACCTTTGCTGAGAAAGGAAAGATTAGTGAGTCAGTGCTAGATTGTTGCAGTGACAAGCTTTGAGAAAACTAAAGACAAATTGAAGATGATCATCAGATCAGAATAAAAGTTAGAGGAATCTAAGATTCTAGAGGAAGAATCACCCTTCAGAACAGGAATGTGTGGATGTGACTATATTTTCATATATGTGAAATATTAAATGTTTCACAAAAGAGGACATGTGCCCAGGTGAGGTTCAAGAACATTTTTAATAGGCCAGTTGAGATTTTACTTTGAGAATTCCTCTTCAGTTTTGTAGGAGTAACAAGACAGTGAAAATGGGATATGTAACATCCAATGTGTTTTTAAAAGAGAAGGTTAATTTGTAATTATGTTCGTTATAAAATCTTGATTGAAAGCTTCTAGTGTTAACAGTTTCATGCGTGTATGAAGCTTCTCCATTCTGGTGACTAGATAACTATATTCATCAACTCCAACCAGCATAGGCCACACATTTGGGGAATTATGGGGAAATCCCAGTACATTTAGAGGGCTCCAGGTTGTGGAAAATTAATCTATGAGATATCTGTACTAGGCTAGACAACTGTTACCTCACCGAGTTGCTCTGCAGGAGATTTTCCTTGGACATTATGTATTGTAGGGTTTTATCAGTAGCCAAAACTATGGCCACGAAAAGCTCTTGTGCTCATGAGATCCTGGGCTGAAAGCTTACTTTGTCCTTGGTTAAGAGTAAAAAAAATAGCCATGTATTGCAAGTTGCTTAGGTATAACAGATTTAAATATTGCCTGTCTCTTGAAAAAAAAATTGCCCAGAATATTTTTAAGTACTATGGTCCTGATTTTGCTGCACATCTGGCCATACTTGCACAATTTTCTCCAGCAAACAGGATGTGGAAAGGTGAAAGATCAATCTGGGCTGGACCAGAAGGATGTACCATCAAAATAAACAATGCTGAAGAGGAAGATAAACAAACAGGCAGTTCCCCAATGTGCCTGTCACTCCTGGACAGGCTAAAAGCAACAAGTGGACTATCTATGAGAGTGTGGGTCATATTGACCACTGACGTCAGTAAATTCTGGGTCAAAGATATTATTAGAAGAATTGGAAAGATCATTGGGAGGCAGGGGTTTCTTGGTTGGGCCTGGGGAGGTCTAGACATGGGGTATATTTGCATGTCTTGGAAACTATATAGGGACTGTGGAGCAGGAACTAGAAGACCCACTTTGGAATGTTGAGGTAGAGAACGTGATGTTTTTGGCCCTAACCTCTCGATGATTGAGAATTCTAGGAACTGTAATCTTAATACATCTGGGGAGGTGCTCGCTTGGGGAAAGTTTTTTATTATTATTATTCAGGGTAGGAATATAGACTGAAATAAAATCCAGGACTTCTCCACATTTGACAGAACGTCACAGTATAAGCTGGCTGAAGAATAAAATTTTTGTAGACAATACTTTTTTGAAGAGAAACAAGGGTTTTTGAGAATGCTCTCACTATTTTAACCAATTATAATTCCAGGATGATTAACTTAAACGTGTAACAGGCAAAACTTTTTTTGTTTTGAGGTGTATTTCAAAATTTAAAACAGCCTCTTGTTTGGGTCCTCCAAAAATAAGTGGGCAGTGTGGGCAGTGTTCGATTCTTTTGCAAATAGTTTATTTATTTATTTTATTTATTTGATTTGTCAATCGCTTACAAGATAATAGGTATAAGTATAAACATAGTTATGAATACATGAAATGGATACATATAAGAAAAATAAAAAGAAACAATAGGACAGAGACGGTAGGCACTTTGGTGCACTTATGCACGCTCCCTAAGTTCTTCTGTTGGGCTTGGCTGTTCATCAGACTACTGGTTTTGTAGAGAGCAATCTGGTGGAGATTACTCCCTAGCTTCCTTGTTCATATGTGGGGGAGAGGGGGCAGGTGAGAAGCCTTTCAAAAAAAAAAAAAAAGCTGGAAATACTCATCATTTAATTTTTTAAAGAATGTTAATGAGCCTTGGATGCATTTTTATGAGTAGCAGTGATGCTAGAACGTGATGCTTTATTGTGTTATCTGTCAATTTTTGCATCATGCTTTCGATACATGATTGGTACATGACACATATGAGCATTCCTGCAGTTGTTGAAGTTTGGTTGAAAGTCTTTACTGCTGAGCTGTATTTGGTGGATTCCCACTCAGTATTCCTTTGTTTTTTATTTGAGTTCCCTTTGACCATCAATAAGGCTGCATCTGAAATTGTTCTCTTTTTCACCAGACTTTTTTTAATTGATAATTTTTCTATATCTCACATTGTTGTCACCTCATCAGGGTCTTTTTTGTGTCATATAGAG